GTCTTAAAAAAAAAAAAAATAGAAGGCCGGGCGCGGTGGCTCACGCCTGTAATCCCAGCACTGTGGGAGGCCGAGGCAGGTGGATCACGAGGTCAAGAGATCGAGACCATCCTGGTCAACACGGTGAAGCCCCGTCTCTACTAAAAATACAAAAAATTAGCTGGGCATGGTGGCGCGTGTCTGTAATCCCAGGGACTCAGGAGGCTGAGGCAGGAGAATTGCCTGAACCCAGGACGCGGAGGTTGCAGTGAGCTGAGGTCGCGCCATTGCACTCCAGCCTGGGTAACAAGAGCGAAACTCCGTCTCAAAAAAAAAAAAAAAAAAAAAAAATAGAACAAGTTCTGCTCTGGGGCCTTCATAGGTGTCAGAACTTATTTTGTCTGAGCACATGGCACACACAAATGGAAGAAGACATTTTTTTCTGACTTCTGTCCCATTTTTGTAACTTAGCAAAAGATTATTTTAGACTTAGTACACTTACTATGGAATTCATCATGAAAAAACAATTAGACACTCAGACCCTTCTAATGAAAACAACCAAAAGATGGAAGAAATTAAAAAAAAACAATAATTAACTGAGCTAGTGATAAAATAATTTGCAGAAATCAAAAAACAAAGTGATTGGAGAACTACGGGAGATAAGCAAACACCGAAGACTTCCCACTGCGGGTATCTTTGACTTTAGTGACCTTTAAATTCTCTTCTAACAGCTGAAAGGAATGGATTACAGAAAACAGGGCCCACTCAAGACAGGGAGGACAACAGGAGATACCTGCATGAAGCTGAGATCCCCAAACGGTTCCTCTTCAATTTAAAAGGGAACCATACCACAAGAAACAGCAAGAACACTTGCTTGGCTTGTCCTTGGCACTTAGAAGTAGAGACAGGAAGAAAGAAGAAATAAATATCTTCCAAAATTCATAACCGTAACTATGCCCTCGTAAAAGTTTGCGATCCAAATTTCCACAAGCTACGTGATCTAAAAACCAAACAACCAAACGCAAAACACCTCAGTAGAGAATTCAAAGAAATCCTAAATTGTGAGTACCCTCTTCCACCCCACAAAAGGCAGAATTACAAATTCACTCTGGAAGGAGATAAATTCAATCCACCCACAAAGAATTCCTACAAATATAATGCCAAGAGATTTGAGTTCATAAGTCAGAAATTACAAAAACACACAGGAAAAGCAAGCCCCATGAGTAAGAGCCCCATGAAGAAATGCAGACAGCAGAATTAAACTCAAAAAGATATTAAACACCAGACTATCAGACACAGGATACAAAACAAGTGTCTAATATGTGTCAGGAAATGACAATGACTTGATTATAAGAACAAAGATGAGACTCTAAGCAGATTTTTTTAAAAGAACTAAATACAATTTCTAAATATAAAAGTTACAAAAGCTGAAGTAAAAACTCAATGGTGTGGCCAGGCATGGTGGCTCATGCCTGTAATCTCGGCACTCTGGGGAGGCTAAGGCGGGTGGATTCAGGAGTTCAAGACCAGCCTAGGCAACATGGCGAAACCCTGTGATACAGTTTGGCTCTGTGTCCCCACCCAAATCTCATCTTGAATTGTATTCCCATGATTCCCACCTGTTGTGGGAGGAATCCAGTAACAAATAATCTAAATCATGGGGGTGGTTCCCCCATACTGTTCTCATGGTAGTGAATAAGTGTGACAAGATCTGATAATTTTATCAGGGGTTTGTTTTTCAGTCTTTCTCATTTTCTCTTGCTACCACCGTGTAAGAAGTACCTTTCACCTCCCGCCATGATTCTAAGGCCTCCCCAGCCATGTGGAACCGTTAAGTCCAATTAAACCTATTTTTCTTCCTGGTCTTGGGAAATATCTTTATCAGCAGTGTGCAAATGGACTAATACATCTCATCTTTATCAAAAATACAAAAAATTAGCCAGGCATAGTGGCACCTGTAGTCCTAACTACTCAGGAGGCTGAAGTGGGAGGATAACATGAGCCTGGGAGGTGGAAGCTGCAGTGAGTCAGGACTGTGCCACTGCACTCCAGCCTGGATGACAGAGTGAGACCCCATCTCAAAATAAACAAACAAAAACAAGTTTAAATTAAAAAAAAAAAAAATTAATGGGTATGCTTAAGAACTAAACAAGGTTAATATCAGACAGTATTTTTTAACCAATATTCCTGTCAATGAAAGGAAATAATAGAATGAAAGTTTCTATTAATAGAAACTCAAGTTTCATTAAAAATAGGAAACATTTTACAGAGAAGATTTCATGGGAGAATGAATCCATTACAGAACTGCTGTAGAGAGACCATGGTATACTACAAGTAGCACTGAACTAGAGTCTGGCCTTGGCCATGACAGTAAGTTGTAAATGACTTGAGACAAATGCTTCTCTCCAGACCTCAGTTTCCTCAGATACAAAACCTCTGTCTACAGTACCTTCCATCCCCACATTCTAGCAACATATGAATCTATCAGCTCCCATTAAAACATTAACTGTACAATGTTGGACAGTCTATTAAAAGTCAAACATTAACAAAGTCCTCAATGAGTTAGGAAAGAGCATCATCCCTCAATAATAGTAATAATAATCCAATACTAAAAATTTATAGGCTGATATGGTTTGATGGGTTGGCTCTGTGTCCCCACCCAAATCTCATCTTGAATTATGGCTCCCATAATTCCCACATGTCATGGGAGGGACCCAGTAGGAGGTGACTTGAATCATGGGCATGGGTTTTCCCATGCTGTTCTCATGATAGTAAATAAGTCTCGTGAGATCTGATGGTTTTATAAAAGGCAGTTCCCCTACACACACTCTCTTTTAATTAATTTACTTATTTATTTATTTGAGATGGAGTCTCGCTCTGTCACCAGGCTAGAGTGCAATGGTGCGATTTCGGCCCACTGCAACCTCCACCTCCTGGGTTCAAGTGATTCTCCTTCCTCAGCCTCCTGAGTAGCTGGGAGGTGCACACCACCACACCTCAGCTAATTTTTTGCATTTTTAGTAGAGATGGGGTTTCATCATGTTGGCCAAGATGGTCTTGATCTCTTGACCTCATCATCTGCTCACCTCGGCCTCCCAAAGTGCTGGGATTACAGGCGTGAGCCACCACGCCTGGCCCCCCTGCACACACTTTCTTGCCTCCTACCATGTTAAGACATGCCTTTGTTCATCCTCTGCATTCCACCATGGTTTTGAGGCCTCCTCAGCCATGTGGAAATATAAGCCCATTAAGCCCCTTTTTCTTTATAAATTACCCAGTCTCAGGTATTTCTTCACAGCAGTTTGAAAATGGACTAGTATACAGGCCACAGGGCAAGTACCTCCTTAAACTTACCTAGCATGAATTCTTGAAAAGATGAGGGCTTGTTCTTTTCATACCCAGAAATTGCCATCAAAGTGAAATAAAAGGTTGGAATTACAAAGATACCTTTAGCCTATTATTTTGATAATATAAAAGTAACTATCTACTAAATGTTGTAAACAACCCCAAAATATCTGCAAATAGAAAAAAAAAAAAATAATATGGGATATGGCTGTCCTGCAATTAAATAATTTTTACATAGTCAACCACAGAAAACATACAACTACCTACCTTTCACTGTGCCATTATGAAAAAGATACAAATTGCACAAAAGTAAACTGCTAACCTGGAATGTTTTCAAGAAAATAATTAATTCATTCTGGAATTAACATAATTCCCTAACTTAAAAATCTCCTGGCTCACAACATCTACATCTAAAGCTGGACTATGGCTAAAAAATGGTGTCTATGAGGATATGTCATTTCGAAAAGTTCATTATATTCAGTATACACTGTTTTAGAAAGTAGAGACTACAACTTACCAAGAAATAAAAAATGATGAAAACATAAAAGAATGCACATCATCTGGAAAATGTATTTAAATAGCCAAACTATTAGTTTCCACACAACTTTTTATTAATACAAATAAACAGAAAATTCAATATACTGTTCCAGTTTCATGTTTCAAATCATATTTTAGAATGCATCGTGTATCATTTTAAGTTAGATCAAGTCAGTACACAAAGGAGAATGCCAAATCAGGCAGGAAAAGCTTCCCAGAGGTGGGAAGCTTTTTTACCACGTGACTTGGTAAAATAAGACAAGTTCTGAAGGTGCAGGAAACAGCCCATGTGAAGGTATGAGGGTATAAACACAACAAAGAAGAGAATGTGAGCCATAAAAAGACGAATCCAAAATATAAAGGTGAAACAAGTTTATCTCATAAATGAGAAAGTATAAAAAGTCAAAAAGAGAAGGCTTAATCCTCATACTTGTTCTAGAAAACACCATGTGCTCTGAAACCTAATCAAAAGAGGCAAGGAAAATATTTATAACAAAACACATTGTATCTATATGATGAGTCTGAGGAATCATAAAAAGAGTATCAAAGCAGTAGGTTTCCGGATATGTGAGATTCAGTATCTGACTATCTGTGTTCTCTCTAGCCCTGTGCTAGGCTAAGCTGGAGAACATGATATTTAAAGTGTGGCACTCATTAGTGAGTGGTAAGGTCTTTGCAGTACACCACACTACCATTTTCTTTTTCAGTAAAACAGATCAGATATATATCTTTATTAACAGTAAATAAAGGCATCTGAAACTTTTGTTTTAATATGTAAGTATGTATACATTAGGTCTCATACTATTTCTCACTGTATGTTGAAATTTTTTAAATTTTATATACAAAAGCATAAGAAAAATTTCAAAATCATAATTCAACCAGGGAGTACAGAGTAAATAAAAATTAGCTTTTCATTATTAGATATAAATAAAAATCCATTTAAAATAAATTTAAAGATGTAGAGATAAGAGAATAAGTGTCAAAACTATGTCATAACACAGGATGTACTATAGCACGTCTGGACAGGAACAACAGTTAAGTGCTGGAGAACTTGGAAAAGCTTCACAAACAAATGGAACAAAACAGGCCAAGCCTTGACTCTTCCTTCAGGGTATTTCATTATAGTTTTTCACGTTGGTAAAATGAAAGCCCTGAACTACAAAGAATAGGCATTTAAACGATCCAACTGCAGGATGAGCAGGGGACTGAGTGACAGCCTTCAAACCAGGCAGCTGCATTCCTGTCCCCATTCTAATAGAAACTACCAAACCACTGCAATAAAACACTGCCTCAGTTTTCTCATCAGCAAGAGGGGAGGCCAGATTTGTACCATCTACTGCAAATCCAGAATGCTACAATTCTAAAAAAGCAGCACTACTATAGAGTTACCAAAGGTTAAATTTCAAACAAATATTGTACCCCTTTGAGCGTCAAGTTACTAATCTGCAAAAAAGGGGCAAACAAGACTCGCAACATGGTCTGCTTCTGTGAAAAACGTATAGAAGATGTTCAGAACAATGCCTGGCACAACCGGCACGAAGCACACTTCCTCTGCCCATCTTCCTCCATCCCAACTACAATGCCATCTATTACTCCTTCCCTCAGATGAGCCTTTCGAAAAATACAGTCCTGACAAAATTTCTGTGACCTGGAGGGAAAGTATCTGGGGGTTCCACACTGACCTGTGGTCATCCTAAGAATCTTGGTCTGTAACTCCTCTACTGGCCTCCTCTGTTTTTAACTATCCCATCAAAGTTAAAATGCGCACCATAAAAAGTATGAGAGATTTTTAGAAGGGTCTAGACCTAAAGCTGGCATTGCACCATTGCAGCACACATGACAGAAGCTTGCAAAAGCTTAAAATCAGAAATCAGCACAAAGCAAAGTGACCCTCAGTTAAGATATGATAAGGTACCAATGACACAAAAGGGAACAGAGAGGTTCAGTTGTCAACATTAATGGACAGGTCAGAACACACTGCTAACTCTGAGAGAAACGAAATACTGTACAACCAATTATCAAGCTCTAATAATCATATGATCAAAGGGCCGGTGCCTCTATTCCTCTCTATCACGGGTCTTCTGAAAGCCATTTGTTTCATTGCAGGAGGAAAGAGAAACATATAAATTTACTGTCCAGTAGTGTTTATGCTTGTGTATTCATCCCATCCTCTCACCTACTCTCCATATCACTCCCAAAAATCTTCAACCTGATGGGGAAGATTTCTGGCAAGTTTTCGAAAACAGAATTTCTTCCAGAAGAAATTAAAAGTAGCTTACTTTCTCCTTCAACTGCCACCACAGAAGCACATATGTAACATATTAAACATGTAGATTTCTCATCTAATCAGTTCAGAAAAATCCAATTATATGATTAATCACTGGGCAAATAACCACAAATTTAAATTTACTCAGAGGACACCACTTATGTAATAAGAAACAAGTTACATATCTGAATCAATATTATAATTCATTGCTAAAGTAACTAAACCAAAACCAACAGGCATGTAATTTTAACTTTCAAAAGTTCAAATGTCTACTAGAAACTCAATGTTCCTACCAGACTTGTCAAAAGGCACAATATTCCAATTATCTGATTCAGTATTTTCAATGAAAAGTTTCATCATATAATTCATGGCTAAATGTGTTACAGAGAATATTTATAGAGAACAAAAGATTCAGATTTATCTTAAGTGTTTTAACTCAGTCAAGATATGGAAATACAAGAACACTGAACACCAAAAAAACAAACAAACAAACAAAAAACGTGCTTTTGATCTGTAAATGCTCACAATGAGACAATGAGCTACTGACAGAAATCTCATTACATCATCTCTGTCAGAAGTAACAGTAGTAATACTGGCCTTTCCAAGACACTCTGTCAAGCCTTCACATTTGGCTTAACAATAATGTCAAAAGGAAAATTCTCAAATATGACCAAACTCAGCCTAACAACATAGTTAAGTGTGCACGATTAAACATTACAGCTCTTACTTTCCTGTCAATACAAGAAAACTTTCAAAAAATTCATAAATATTCTCATGAATAGCTAAACATTTAAAACATAACTATATCTGAACTCCATAACTTGCACCTTACCTAAGGCAAAAAAAAGGGGCAGGATGTGTTTTTTACGGCATCTTCACATTGTCTTCAATGCAAGGATTTACCCTCTTTGGTGAACAAATTACAAGAATGTTCCATCAAGCTCTTTCTACCATATTCTTGACAATTTCTGTATCTATTTAACCACATAATATTTCAGCTCTATAAAAAGCAAGGATCCCTGGAGTGCCACCCTGCGTACCCTTCACACACCTGACTTGGGTAACAGATTTCTGTGATTATGCTCAATCAGAAAACCTGTGTTGATGTTTTTCCACTGATAAAGACATGAACACTTCTAGTTTTCCAGATGCCAATGTTATAGTATAATGAAGTATCTGTAAAGTACCTACCACTCCTGAGAAGAAAATCACTATATAAATAAATACAAGGTATTATTAAGTTGAAGTAAAACCAAAATCAACTATATAAATAAATACAAGGTATTATTAAGTTGAAGTAAAACCAAAATCAACAAATTACATTATGGTCTGACTTAGTTTATAGTAACAGAGTTTGTTCTTCAGATTTCATATGTAAACTCTGGCTCACCCTAAAAAAAAGCAAATTATCATCAAACTTACATAGTTTTATCAAATACTCAAAATATTCCATACACTTCAAACAAAATAAGGTACTCACATCGTGAACCGTCTCAGAAAGAGTTCTTCATTCTTACCACAATAAGAAAGTGACCTGCGGCTCTTTCTGTGTCACTGAGACAACAGGAATATTATAATAAACCAGGGCTAAGTGGAAAGAACAAAGTAGCATCTCTGCCAGTCCTGTTTTCTAGACCTTGATTTCCCTGACCTATAAAATGTGGTTCACTCTTACCATTTTCCAGCTATAAAACTGTGAAAGAACTGAAAACAACTTTTAAATTCTGCAAAAATAAAAACCATTCTTAGCAACCACACCGTTAACAGCTCAGAAAACAACAGTGTCAGTCTAAAGATATGCATAGGCCCGATGCAATGGCTCACACCCATAGTACCAGCACTTTGGGAAGTCAGAGCAGGAGGACTGCTTAAGGCCAGGAGTTCTAGAGACCTGGGCAACACAGCAAGACTCTGTCTCTACAAAAAAAAAATTTAATTCCCTGGATGTTATGGAGCACACCTACAGTCCCAGCTGCTCGGGAGGCTGAGGCAGGAGGATCATTAAGCTCAGGAGTTCGAAGCTGCAGTGAGCTATGACCTGGGCAACATAGTAAGGCCCTACCTCAATAATAATAGAAAATAAAAATAAATGTAAGCATAATTTTTGTGAAGGATATTGGGGAAATTCTGCAAAATATTTTACACCATTAATATAGTTTCAGTCCCTTTAGAAACAACAACAAAAAAGCACCACTGTTTGATAATAGTGGAGAAGTAGAAAAGAACTGGCTACAATTGGCATGAAGTGCAGTCACATCCAAAACAAAAGAGTGGATTCGCCAACATGGAAAATGGCAGAGTAGAAAGCTCCAGGCATTTGCCCTTCCACCAAAACCATTAAGCTGAAAAATACATCAGAATTAACTATTCTGAAACTTGGAACCTAATCGGACATTAAACTAAACACCCAGGGCAGTGGTCGATGAAGAGAGAAGAAAACAGAGCACGCAAACCAGCTATCATCCCCTACTTCTCAGCGCCCCTCCACCCCACCAGAGATGGGCACAGGACCATCTCCTAGAGCAGCTTCTTGGTACCAGGGCTGGCGGTGGGAACCTTGCCCTCCAACAATTTGGGATTGTGAACTTTGCTCAGTCTGGCAGTAGCCTGGGGGAACAGCGCAGATGCTTGCCTTTGTTTCTATCCCCTTAGACTGCAACCTTTCTTCATTTTTCCCCTTACTGGGGGGATAGGGATCCAGACATTGGTAAATCTCTATCAAATTACAGTTGTCCAGAGATAGTAAGACAGAAACTTCAGTGACCGCACACAACAAGGAATACAGACTTTGCAAAACTGGTTTAGAAAAGTCATTATACAAATGGATGACTGCAAGCCTCAAAAAAGCAATCACTGAGGAGGTGGAGAATCTGATTTTCAGAGTCACCACATTACAACATTCAAACTGTTCACTTCTTACAAAAAAAAAATCACAAAAGACGCCAAGAAAAAAAAAAGAGGAAAATATGGTGTATTTGCGGGAAAAAAGAATCTGACAGAAACTATCCCTGAGGAATTCCAGACATTGGGAATTACTAGTCAAAGTTATTAAATCAATCGTATCAAGGTTACCACATTGAGGTCCCAATACAAGAGCTAAGCATGCTTACTTCCCCACGACTAATGTAGTTTTTCCAGTGAGTCACTTGTTGAAATCCAAAATTTCCTGGATGAGAACCATTTCTGCTGAGTTCAAATAAGGCCAAATCACAAGTCCAAAAAGATTACACAGTATCACAAGTCTAAAAGATTAGTTAAATCTTGAAGGCAACAACATTTATATTCTACCACTTTGCTTCAACAAGCCATGACGCTTCAAAACAAGGGTGTCAGAAAAATTCTGGACAAAAAGATGAGTTCACGAAGGTAAAGAAGGAATAGTGTTGTACAGCTGCAGAAATAACAAGGGCTGAATCACGCTCAAAGTTTATGTGCTGCATTTTCAAAATGCAGTAAAATTCACTTTTTAAAATAACACACATTTATATACGTTAAGCACAATTTGAATACAAGTTGAGAATGTAGGAAGCAATTAATATGGGAACTTGAGTGTGGGTACATCATAAAGAAGAAAGGTAAGAGCTGGTAAGACAGACACTTTAGCCATCGCAGGCCAGAAGGCTGTGCAGGCGTGAAGCCCTCACGGTGAGTGAGTGAGCAGTGAGCTCCACCGCCACTTCTCAAGCCACGCAACTCTGGGCGAGTCACTTTCTCAGTCTTAGTTTCCTCACCATATCACACAGGAAAATACCTACTCTGCCTACCTCAGAGTTGTGGAAACCAAACAGTGAATGTGAAAGTGCTGTAAAACGTAAGCATTATGTAAAGGTATGACTAGAAACATGAGTCATTTAGATTTTTCTAAGTAATTGTTTTATCAAAGTAAGCAACAAGATGGAAACTTGTAGCAGGAGAGGGAAGTACCTTGTTCAAGCACACTTGGTTTTGAAAGCTACTATGTAAATGTAAAGAAAAGATACCAATCTTGAGCCCATGTACAAGTCTGAAGTTAACTTCCTACGGACAGTTAAAATAGCAGAACAAGCACCAAATCCCTTTCATATGCGTTGTTTAAAACTTTATGAATACTGTTAAGTTCACAATCTAGAAATAATTCAAACTGTAAACAGGGTATAAAACCTGAAGTATTATTCACCACTCCCTTCCTTAAGGTTCATTTCTCTGGAGACAATCTCCATTAACTGTTTTTAATGATGATTATCATAACTTCAAATAATATATTGCATGCCTCAGTCAACAGCTCTTAATTCTGCACTTTGCAAGAAGAGAAACTGGCGCACACACTACCTCCCGACACTCCTTCCCCAGACCACCTCCTAATTTTTATTATGTGTCATTGGGTATAGTATTGTTCTAGTGCTTCTACTGGTTCTGCACCTAAATCTTTAGCTAGATTTACCAGTTTTCATACAGCACGTAAGAAATCCGGGCTAGGAAACAAAAGGAGAGAAGCACAATCAGCTTTCCTGCTATCCCTCATTTCCTCCACCCCCAGCCACTTCCTCATATATTCAGGGATTATAACATTTACACTTGCTTCTATAATTATGATATCTTCCATGCTTTATCTTTGGTGTATTCAAAAACCAATTAACTAGAAAGAGTGGATACTTGAAGGACAGCTAATGGGTGCTAAGAAGATTGGTTTGTGAAGTAGAGAGCAGTGAGTAGAAATGTTAGTAAAGTTCAAACTTAAGAAAATTTTTGTTATACATGAGGCGGAAGAATCGTTTGAACCCAGGAGGCAGAGGCTACAGTTAGCTGAGAGCAAGACTCTGCCTCAAAAAAAAAAAAAAAAAAAAAGGTATAGGTTACTAGTAAAAAATAAACAAAATATCATTCGAATAAAAAGCAGTATAGGAAGGCAAAAAAAAAAAAAAAGCAAAGGAACAGAAATACTCATTAAATTACTGCCCTTCAAAGGAGATTCTTCCATGTTTCAATCTCTTGGTTTTCCTCAAATGTCTGGAAATCCCTGCTTGGCTGTTCGGCTCTGTGAATGAAAGATGGTTAATGAAAATATATCATATGGGTTTCCTCTGCATTTGTGTAGGTGTGGTTGTCCTAAAAGATCGCTGGTTTCAAGTTCTGTGTGTATGATGAGCTGGTGGGCATGTTAACAAGAAGAGGAGTACTCTGAAGGTAGAAATGTCCTTGTTCCGTGTCTGCTGTAAAAACCAAAGTGCCATAAGCTCTTCTCTGCTCTCTCCACTCTCACACTCTCCTCAGATAAAAGATCACCCACTTTCTGGCAAGACTATGACTTACCAGCTACTCTGAAGGGGACAGAAAGAAGGCTCCACTGAGCCTGCTATTCTGAATGAACTTCTGTAACTACCATGGTGATGGCAACACAGCCATGCTCCCACTATGAACTCTTGATTCCAAATTCACACTTTCACCAGGGCTCTCTTGAGAAGCCCAGGATCAGCTGTGAACTAACACTTATTAGTTATTCTTTCTCCTGCTGTAACTTTTTCTACTAGCTGTTGTTTCTCTAATCGTATTTACTATCTTAACAATCCTCTAGGAATCCTCAAAAATATCTGTCAATTAATAACACAATCTATCCTCTAGCTCTACTACAGTTCAATAAACAATGCAAACATCACTCACCACACTCACAGGACATCTTTCTGTTATTTCTATACAAATGTTCGAAGAAATGGGTGTGCAGGTGCTTAGACTGATCTCAGGATTCTTTATAACATAGTTTAACAAGAATAGCATTACTTCAAAATAGTCTACTCTTTCCAGAATATAAATTATCATCTAAATTACATAAAAAGCTTTGCTAATAAGCATCTACAATAATGGGAGGAATACCTGGAGCTAAATCAATCTGATCGGAAACTCTCAGCTCATACCAAAGCAGGTTTCATTCAGACCATTATTCCAATAATAATCACCAACAATGTTTTCTTAAATACTACATATAGAAATGTAAAAAAATAAAATTTATAGATTATTCAGAAAAAATTTCTACTTTTATTCTAATTTATAAAGCAATATTGGAGCTAGGCGTGTTGGCTCATGCCTGTAATCCCTACACTTTGGGAGGTTGAGGCAATAGGATCACATGAGCCAGGGAGTTTGAGACCAGCCTGGGCAACATAGTGAAATCCCATTTCTAAATAAATAAAATGAAAACATTAGCTGGGTGTGCCCATGAGGTGGTGCATGCCTTTAGCCCTAGCTACTTGAGAGCCTGAGGCAGGAGGATGGCTTGAACCCAGGAGTTCAAGGCTGCAGCGAGCTATGATCATGGCACTGAACTCCAACCTGGGTCACAGAGCCAGACCCTGCGAAAAATAAATGTTGTTAGTCACATATTATGACTGAAATGTGTGAGTGCCCTGTAAATGAAAAAGACAAAAGAAGCTCTCTCTATAGGGTTACTAACAACTCATAGGACAGAACTTGGAGAAAGGTAACATACATGAAACTGTTTTGATCAAAAGCAATTCCGTTTCTAAAATTTCCCTATCACATTTAGCTTGCCATATAAGCTCATTCTCTATTACATTCTGAAAAAGAAACACAGAAAAAGGGGAGAATAACAGCAACTGAGAGGGTGGAAAAATAAAATTTCAATGAGTTTCAAGGTGAGAAAACATACTTCAACACGCCCACATATAAGGTAAGCTTTCTCTCAAATCTGTCAGAAAACTGAGTTACTTTCTTATCAGGTCCACTAAAGCCTTCCAGATTACAAAATATACTTTCTCAATTACTTCATTTTGAGCAACAAAGGGTTGTCCAAAGAAGCCTCAGGAGCCTAAAACAACCTCAAATAAACAATAATTCTGGGTGGCATTAAAGAAGAACTTGAACACTTTTTAAATTATGCCTAGAGATACGATGTCATGATTGTATAAGATAGATGTCATAATAAATAAGCCATCTTCGATCAGTTTTATAAAAAAGACTAGGTCAGTAATTAATGATCTATTAAGTGGGGATATTAGCAAACAAAAAAAAACAACTGTCAATATTATAGAAACAGGAATGCTATCCCAAGCCACAGTCCTCACTGACACCATCAAAAATGAATTTAAGAGTGCTGTAAACAGATGTACACCTAAATGAAAGTAGACATGTTCTAACAAACTATGCTAGATTTCACAAAAAATAACTAAATATTTCACAGATGCTGAAAATACCTATGAACAGTTAAAATAAAATTGTATCATAAAACGAGGCCAGGTCCTGTGGCTCATGTCTGCAAACCCAGCACTTTGGGAGGATGGGGTGGGCAAATTTCTTGAGCCCAGTAGTTTGAAGCCAGCCTGGGCCATATGGCGAAACCCCGTATCTACCAAAAAAAAATACAAAAATTAGCCGACACAGTGGCGTCCACCTGTAGTCCCAGCTATTCAGGAGGCTGAAGTGGAAAGATTAACCACTTGAAACACTGAAAGCAGAGGTTGCAGTGAGCCATGATCACAACACCTGGGCAATAGAGCAAGATCTTCTCTCAGATAAATAATCATAAAACGAATGAAAACATTTAGAATTTATTTTGTTTGATCTCAAATCTCTGTAACATTTATAAATTTTTAAGTAAACTTTTAATTACATCTAAATCCCTAAACATTTATATACTCAAACGTTTACATATTGGTGAATGGAGGCTGGCTCACTTTATAATCCCAGCACTTTCGGAGGACGAGGCAGGCAGATTGCTTGAGGCCAGGAGTTCGAGACCAGCCTGGCCAACATGGTGAAACCCCATCTCTACTAAAAATACAAAAAATTAGCCAGGTATGGTGGCAGGCGCCTGTAATCCCAGCTACTTGGGAGGCTGAGGCAAGAGAA